ACCAGCTCCCCTTCTACAAATCAGCGTCAACTGCGATCACACTGCAGAAAGCTCATTATTTGTGTTATCGACAGCGGATGCGGCGACCTCTGTGAATCCGCCATGGATGGATGGATGGATGGATGGATGGATGGATGGATGGATGGATGGATGGATGGATGGATGGATGGATGGATGGATGGATGGATGGATGGATGGATGGATGGATGGATGGATGGATGGATGGATGGATGGATGGATGGATGGATGGATGGATGGATGGATGGATGGATGGATGGATGGATGGATGGATGGATGGATGGATGGATGGATGGATGGATGGATGGATGGATGGATGGATGGATGGATGGATGGATATGGCTGTACCCTTTAGATCGGGTGGTGGCTAGCGCCACCAAGCCGTAGTATACTTAATGAACGAAAAACTAGATTTATTTTGTTTTCCTTAAATAGTGAGGTTGAGGATTCGTATACTTTGCTGTGAAGGGTTCAATTTTCACTCGTGCCTTGACTTTAGCCACCAATCAGATAACCTCCTTCTAGTTAATTCAACCCGCTTAATGTCTGTTTTGCCCTCACTGTCCCTAAACCCCAGTGCTTTGCAAAACTCAGCGCCATCATCCTGAACTATAGGGAGAAGCCCTTTACAGAACATTATCAAGTGTTCGGCAGTTTCTTCTTCCTCTCCACACGCACTGCATGCCGTGTCTACCCCTTCGTATTTGGCCTAATATGTCTTGGTTCGCAGTACTCCCGTCCTGGCCTTAAACAGTAGAGAACTACCCCGAGTACTATCATAGATCCTTTCCTTGGCAATTTCCAGCTTAAAAGTTCGATAGATCTCAAGTGCGGACTTCTTAATCATGCCCATTCTCCACATGTCAGTCTCCGTTTCCATGCTGCAACTCTGCAGTGCCCTCTCGTGTTCATTTGAGTTCCGAATTTGCGCAGGCACACGGTGACAAAGATGGGACAGATGGGGGCCGCCACTTTCTCCGTTGCTCTTGCAGAAAGAAGCTGCTCCATACTCACGCGTGCTCCCTCCGTTGACAGGTGTGGCGGCGTACGAAGCAAGGCCGGGGCCGTTTAGCATCCATTTGCATATCACTCGCTCCCTTTGTTTCGGGCCTTGGAGGTCGCAGATGCGTCCGGAAGCCAGCGCCCGATTGCCGGCAACATCTACGACGTCTATTGTCAGGTGTGTAGGCGTACGCTGGAGCTGTACATGTAGCGTGTGCTACCTATTACGAGATTACGCCCAACGTGTGGCCCCTCATTAGGCTGACGTTTCGGCTTTTGGGGGCCAAGCCCCCTATGCCGTGGGTCGTGCGTCCGCGATGTATGTAGTAATATATAAAACGATAGTTTTATCATAAATAATATGATAGATGTATCATAAATAAAATGATAGTTGTTTCTAGATGAAATCACTAACATAGACGATTATTGGTGACTTATTCTTCAATACAATTTGCCTTGAATGTGGTGCTTACTAAAAAAAAAGAAACTAGTATCAGAAGGACGCACTTTGAGCACTATCTGACCAGAAAGGGTTGCCACGTTAAACTTTCCAGGCGTTACCTCCTCGGTTTTTGGCAAGGTTTAGCGAGTATTGCGCCGCAGTACCATGAATATAGTCAACTACTATATAGCCATGAACTTGGGGAGGTGAAAGGTGGGAAGTAGACACGACGCGCAGGCCGTAAGAAAGTGCGCATATGAAAAGATGCGAGATGGAGGTGCTAAGAGTGTTCACTAGATTGGCGGAAGGACAGACAGACAGATGCATGGACGGACGCATGGATGAATGGATGGACGCACGGAAGCGAGAACGAACGGACGGACGGACACATCGCCCTACTAATCATCATGCACTTCGTGGGTATGCTGTGATTTTTTTTTTCTGCCCGTCGTCTTTAGGAAGGGAGCTATATTTAGCGTTACGTATGATAATAAAGGGAACATACAAAAGAAAGACAGTCATCCTTACAGAACATGAATTAGAGGGCTTTTTTTTTTCTTTTTGCCTTCAACAAAGATGCGGCTGGCTCAGTTTCGCATTTTTATTGACTCTATATCGCACCAGTTTCAGAGGCAACACTGCACTTTTGAAGCTCATATTGTCGCGGGCAAATTCAAGACCAACAGCCATGTGTTGACGTCATCCCCAGAAATCTGAGCAACAAAAACGTTCCGTTCTTCTGCACACCCGAAACGGGTATTAGTCACCGGGGACCAATCATCAATAATGGCATGTGTCAATATTTAATGTATTTCACGCGTGAAGGGGAACGTAAGCACTTGACACTTTAGGGAAATCACTTGAACCATGGCCTGAAATACATCTTCAGAAAAAGGGCGAACATATTCCTGAAAGACCGCCTAATTGACACCGCACTGTGTAAGCGCTTGTGATTCGCAGCTAGGTACGGGATGATGTGTTAGTTCTGGGAAGACGACGCCCCTCCATTCAGAGGCATCGCAAACGCCCGGCTCGCTCTGATCGTGTTTCGATTGATTGATTGATTGATTGATTGATTGATTGATTGATTGATTGATTGATTGATATGTGGGGTTTAACGTCCCAAAACCACCATGTGTTTATGAGAGACGCCGTAGTGGAGGACTCCGGAAATTTTGACCACCTGGGGTTCTTTAACGTGCACCCAAATCTGAGCACACGGGCCTACAACATTTCCGCCTCCATCGGAAATGCAGCCGCCGCAGCCGGGATTCGAACCCGCGCCCTGCGGGTCAGCAGCCGAGTACCTTAGCCACTAGACCACCGCGGCAGGGCCTGATCGTGTTTCGGGTAGCTGCTGTGCCTCTGGACGCTTCTTCAGCTGCCTGGCCGCTGCTGCCGGCGGCTATAACGTCCTTGGACGACCAATAAACCTCTTCACGTTCGGTGTAGTTGCTGGGCAGAAGAACTGTGGGCAGAACTTGTGCAGTTGTCGTACTGCAAAATCTCGTGCCGTTATTTTATTTTATTTATCTATTTATTTTACAACATACTGCGGTCTTGAAAAAGACCAAGCAGGAGAGGCACAAAAAATTAAGTGGAAAACACACGTAAGCGTGATAGATGAATGATGTGCACAAAATACAGAAGATAAGTACATTATACAGAGATATATAGATGAGCTTAAACACAGGTTAATACGACCTTCAGAACAACGGTGATGGGTCTGTCTCCCCATTATACATTCACAAAAGCGATAAACAGTAAAGCAAGTCGAGTACAGACTACAGTACAGACAATATGGCACGCTCAAAATGGCAAATAGACTGAGATGTGAAAACCACTTCAGGCAGTGAATTCCATTCGGATACTGTACGTGGGAAAAATGAATTCTCGAACATGTTTGTGTGGGCTCGATACGGAAGCAAATTGTGCGTGTACTGCAACTATATTTAACCCAATGTATAGGTAATTATAATATTTCTATTTAAAATGTTTTACTCATTGGTTTGTTCACCAATGCACGAAACTGCTTGTCGTTACTGTCCTGTATAATTTAGTATAGTCTGGTCGTTGGGTCTCGTCACGCTACTTTTGTAGCTTTTAACCCAGCGGAACCGTCCAGCATGTATAATCTGGCAAAATAAAAATTGAATTGAACTACAAATGAGTGCGTGAGAATGTTCAATTGCGCTGGGAACTTCTGTGAGCAAACTGCACATTACCGCGTTATTTTAACTCGTTTCACTGTGCTATTATGACTTTCTTATTTTTTTTAAGTTTCTCATCATTTTGGGTAATTCTTGTTACTTTGTTTTTTCTCACTGCAGAACTTATAAACGCGGAGCAGCCGAGGTAACACGAACGTGAAGTCAAGTCTCCACATCGAGACGGTTACAACAGGATGGAACGGGTACGAATTGGGTATTTTTTCGTGTACGTCTGTATTTTGCTTCGTTTTTCGATAGTAACGATGCAAACGACGATTCTTTCGTTTTTGGGCTTGCAAATACAAAGAGTCGACTCGATATCTGTCAGGCTCCCGAAATGTCTTCTACGGTAGGTCGCGTCTGTTTAAAGTAAAATACGGATTGAACAGAAATGGAGCATCCTTATAAGCGTCATGTTTGTTAACAGGATACGAGATGGTGGAGTTCTCAGACCAGAGAGGGGGCTGACCATCGAGATCATTTGCACGTGACCCGACACTTTTATCTTTATCTTATTGTGACGTCTAAAATAAGATCACGTGTGGCCTACCCTAATTTATATGCCTCGTGCACTTGCTAGATGCCTCGCTTTGCTTTCCAGGCGTTTGAAATAGACGTCAGTTTCAGTGTGACCTGATCTTCTTTTTCTTTACTGTTGCTTTATTTTTTTGTGCAATGCACACATGCTTCGTTGTTCTACAATACGTGAGCAAATGTTGGTTTTCCGTTCACAGTATCACTTCTTTTTCTATCTTTCATAAATAGGTACACACCGCAGTGCTCTCGTCGATGAATTCACTTTTTAAGTTTTGATAGACCTGGAATACTTGGAATACCAGACCTGAAATACTATAGAATTGTTAGTTTTACTAGACCTGGAATGCTACGAAGCGCGGAAACTCGGGCAAGTTGGTAGGACATAACTGAACGTAGGAACAGCGCAGCCTAATAGTAGTTACTTCGTAACCACGGAAGCAAAAAAAAAAACAAGGACAGAAAAGAGCGCTGTTCTAGGATGCACTGTTCCTACATTCTGCAGTGCTACACTTGGAAGCTCATTTTGCGTAGCTCCGGGACGCAATTGAGTTTTATCGGCGTACGTCCGCTCCACACGCTCACATGGCACCCCTCTGTACTTTTACCTTCACACGAGGCACAACGCCGCGAGGAGCGAGCCAGAGGGCCGCTCTGGGCAGGTATTTCCGTTACACGCCGAGCTCTCACGAGGGCTAGGTGAGGAGCTGGAGGAGGGGCGCGCGGGTAAGAGCGCGTTTTGCGGTGCGTTTCTACGCCTCCCTCTCACCCTCCGCAGCGGAAGATCACGCGCCTACGGGCCTTTTATACGTTTATGTCTTTATGACGCACGTACGACAGCTGCGTTGTGCCGCCGATGCCGTCGCCGCCAGCGACGAACGAATAGCACCTGCGTTCTTTTAGGCGCCTAGCTCTTTTTTTCCCTACCAATCTGTAGCCGCGCACAGCGAGCAGCAAGAGACGAAGGCGCCGACGGAGGATCAACTTTCGGCGGGGAATTTCACCCGCTCCGCGTCCAGCTCGACCAATCAAACTGCCTCGATGCTCCATTCGAACCTCGCATTACAGTAGAGTGCACTGGAAACGTACCCTCGCCCGTGATCGCTGGCTGACTGGAACTACAGACCGGCCGCAGCGCCCGGAGTGAAACACCCACCGCTGCATTGCTGTTGCCAGCCGCGACACCGTCAACGACGTAGCAGCCGTGAGTATAATCTCTCTACACGCGTGGAACTTTTATCGAATATCGCCCGCTTGCCCTGACCGCGGAGTTTGATCGGTGCGATTGCGAAACAGCGCGAGAGATTGTTGTGTTTATCGCACGACGTTGCACGCTTGTCTTTTTTCGCGAAGAACTTCGATCTCCCGTTTGAAATTTGGGCAAGCTTGACTCGTATCTATGCTTGTTACGATGTGTTCACCGCATGTACTTACGCTCCCCTTCCAGTGAATTGCACCTGCGAAATCTTGAATTATTATCATTTTATTACTTTTTTATTACTGTTCAATTTTACCCTGTGACAGAGTTTATTTGCCTGACTATTGGATTCATTACGCATATTACAATGTGCTCCTAGTGTACGCACACCTATTCGGAACGTGTATTCACGTACAAAGAGCCACGTGTTGTATTATTTCAACTGTCACAATGAAAAGCTTAGTTTGTATCGCGCATGCGCGCACTGCTGTTGTTGCCTGACTGCTACTTGGAAAAAAGTATAGGTCTCGTCAGGCCATACGCTTACAGCTTTCTTTCAAAGGTGGCATTCGACATTGTATACTTCCCACATCTTCTAAGAAATAAAGCATAAACTCGAGAGAATACCGGAGGAAAAAAAGGCAGAGGTGTTCACCAGTTTAACACGACCGGTTTGCTACCCTGCAAAAGGGAACGTGATAGAGGGGACTGAAAGATGGAGAGAAAAAAAGAAGAGAAAGACAGTACGCAGCGCGGCACACACACAAAGTCTTGACACCGTTCGTCCCTTTCTTCTGGTACGTGGCATTACTGTTCCAGCCATTTGTCAACTATATCAAATCTTGTCTTTACCCAGTACCTCCAGCATTCTGTTGCGGGGTTTATAAGATAGGTTTATTTACATTGAGCTGGGCGGCAAGTGTCAGCCAAAAACTGATGATGATGATGATGATGATGATGATGATGATTATAATGATGATGATTCCACAGCCATGGCTTGACCCACTCAGGGGAATTGGCCAAGAATCGATGACTTAATTCAGTGAGATTTTTTTTTTACTATTCAATATCGAAACCACCCACCAGAGAAAAGAAAATGAAAAAGAAAAGACACCCTAGGCAGAATGAAAGGAGTGCAATGATTGTTTGTCACTCGTCCCGATAAGACGATCATCCATTACCTCGAATAGGAATTAGCGTGGTTAAACAAAGCTCCCGTTTATGTTGGAACATTTTTGCGGGAATTATAATCACACAATTGAAAGCTGCACGCCGTTCTTCTTCCTCAACCTCTGATGCTGTTGTCGCTGCTCCTCCGTCACTATAGACTAGACCCACTACTAACATTGCTCCCCTCGCAGACGAAGCCCACCGGGCGAGAATTTAGTTGATGCGTCGTTAAGCGAAAGCCTTCGGGCGTGCTATGTGAGTCACTTCGGTTTCGGCTGTTTTGTCTTCTGTCGACGACGTGCGAGAATGTTTTCAACGGACATTGGTCTATCGTTAAGGGGTGCTGAAGCGAACCCTAGCGGCTGTCTCTAAACACGCGATATTCCTCGGCAGTCGCACAGGATGCGGCGTATAGTGTTTCCTCCCAACGACAGGTGTCGCACAGAGCGTTGTCGGCCATTGCAGCGCGAATCCAATTTAATGTTTTCGTAGTGCTTGCAGTTTGGCTATGTATGTATACCTTACGGCCTTCCCGATCTGAAACGAAGATGATACAAATTGCTCGCGTTAACGTCGGATCCTGCCGGCTTAGGTTAGGATTCTGCTGGCGGTGAGTCATCTTTTCGTCCACTTTTTTCTTTCTTCACATTTTCATTACAATAACTTCTACTAACATCACTTCACCTGGCATTACTGTCTGTTAGCTCTCGTTACCATTGTCTAACAAAAGAGCCCTTAAAATCACACTTTTCTTCATTTACTGCCCACAGGGTGACAGATTTATATTAAAGCCCGGATGTGGTCGATTGTCTGTGACTAAGATAGAACGTGGCGCCTGGCACGATCGTGCCGCCGGCCGATATCTGTGTCGTCAAGTGGTTTGAGATAAGAAGCGCGGTGCCTTGCCATAGCGCCGACGCATCGTAGGTGTGCTTTGGAGACAACTATTTTTAAAACGGGCCTCCTTGTCACGGAATGAAATGGAATCGAAAACAACTTTATCGGGAACGCCGCTGGGTCGCGCACTCGGCTCAGACCCACTCAATCATTTTCTTCACAGCTGTACCTTCATTCCAATCGCACAATCACACACACACACACACACGCACACGCACACACACACACACACACACACACACACACACACACACACACACACACACACACATATATATATATATATATATATATATATATATATATATATATATATATATATATATATATATATATATATATATATATGTGTGTGTGTGTGTGTGTGTGTGTGTGTGTGTGTGTGTGTGTGTGTGTGTGTGTGTGTGTGTGAACGCATAAATGCACATTCATAAGATAAACGGTAGTGGAATCCCTACTATGGAAAAAAGTATTCTCGCTACATCCCTGAACGATATGTTCACGAATCGTTGAGCTTGTAATGTACGAATTCATGAATGTTGATTCAATACCATTAGAGAAAATTTTATTCATTTGTTATTTTTTCACCTATTTGTTTAGTTATTTTTACTCATTGCAGCTGCCTTTAGCACTGCTGAAAGAGCACTTTCGTTAGGTCATTCATTACAGTCCAAAAATTTTCAAATAATGGCCACTCATCAGCATCGCCGGACAAGGTATTCCAACGTTCGAGCGTTCAGATAATGAGAGCGGTCTATTTATTCATAATTTATCTGCATCACATGCAGTTAGCCGTTGTACCAGGTCATAAACAGGAGTGGGCTTACACAATTAACGCTGACAAACCATTTTTCACTCGTGCATATCTGTTCTTGTTTGAAATATTGAACGCATAGCTTGTCACAACTGGAAGTTCGAAAGGGGTCGAGCTTAATAAATACATTCGCCTGAACAGCCAGGGCGCGATGAATCAATTGGATGGCGGATAAACATTTAATGTAACGACTTTCGATGTGAAGTACTTTCAGTGGGATGATACGCTGATAGAGGTTACGCGCGAAAATCCACTCCCTCCCGAGTCCCGAAATCTGGGCCAACGACATGTCCGGATTTCGATACATGGAGCTATACGGGGTATTTCGCAACTTGTGTGATTGAATATAACCCTGGTCGCACCCACAGAGAGGCACGTGTGCACGCTGGCATATAACTTTGGGTTAACGCTGAAGCGGATCTCGGAGGCCGAGTATGAAGCAGCCCGCGCCTAAGCCAGGTGCGATAACGAACACACCTGCTCGAAAAAGAAAACCAAGACAGCTTGCTCTTGCAATGACCTCATTCGATTGACTTTAATCAATTATCCCGATTGTTAGTTGGTCGTTGTCCTAAGCAAACTTATCTCTCGATGCCATATGTGTCCAATACAAGTTTTGATTTTAACCAGCACCACTGAAGTCATATCATCAACTTTGTTTCTTTTTTTTTTTTTGCCAGAATTTACGAATTCTGGAGGCGGCATATGTTGCTGCGAAACGTAAGTTCTGAGCCGAAACATTTTTGGCACAGCTGATTATTATTATTATTATTATTATTATTATTATTATTATTATTATTATTATTATTATTATTATTATTATTATTATCATTATTATTATTATTATTATTATTATTATTATTATTATTATTATTATTATTATTATTATTATTATTATTATTATTATTATAGGGATACGGTCTCTCGTTGCCATTAATGGACGTCGAGGTATTGTCACAAGGCCATTTTTTTTTCGATGTCATATCCTGATTATGTATACAAATATGATCCTTTGTTCGTCTTTTATTTACCTCCACAATAGAAAGAGAGAGAGAGATAGATAACTTTTTATTGAAGTGCAGAGAATTCAGGTGGTGCACAGAAATTGCTGATTTCTTATCAAGTCTGCGTGGGCAGAAGTGCGAACTGAAATACAGAAAGTGAGACCGTGCAATTTACGCATGTACCATATTTAATCTACGTTGTTTCCTATCCATCTGAACAACACTAATTATATCTCCTAGTACTTACGAAGAAATGAAGGCAATTCTCTAAAGACGCTCGTTTCTTTGTTAGGGCACAACCAAATGAATCCGACAGACAATTGGACCAGGGAAAGCACGCGGGCTATTAATTGTTGTCTTTAACTAAATTGTAGGAACGATGACTCAAGATTGAAATTGATACTGACGAGAATAACATTTTACACGGCTGAGACTCGAACCCACAGTATTCGTATTACGCGTGCTGATTTGTATCCCGTCGTAGGGAGAAGCGAGTTCTCGATCACGTCATTGCTACTACGCCGGTGTTAAAGACGACATCTTTATCCGCCATGATGATCTAGTGGCTATGTTTCTCGACTATTAACCCGAAGGCCCCAGGATTCAATCCAGGCTGCAGAGGCAGCTTTTCGGTAGAGGCGATAACACTTGAGGCCCGTGTATACTTGTATTTAGGCCGACGTTAAAAGAACCCCAGGTGGTTCTTTAACAGAGCCCTACAGTACAACGCACTCATAAGTATATCATGATGATGATGATGATATGTGGGGTTTAACGTCCCAAAACCACTGATGATTATGAGAGACGCCGTAGTGGAGGGCTCCGAAAATTTCGACCACCTGGGGTTCTTCAACGTGCACCCAAATTTGAGCACACGGGCCTACAACATTTCCGCCTCCATCGGAAATGCAGCCGCCGCAGCCGGGATTCGAACCCGCGACCTGAGAGTATATCATGACTTTGGGACGTTATGCCCTAACTGTTAGAGATACCAATGCGTGGACCCCGTGCTTTGCCGACCTAATTGTGTGTTGGATCAATTTGGATGTGTCCTTTGCAAACATTGCTATCCTATGCTCTCTAGCTACAAGTTACAATCACCTGTAAACGTTACAGCCTGT